CACTCTGTGCGTGACCAGGGGGTGGACTAGGAGAGTTAACCGGGAGTGTCCTGGACAGGAAGCCTGGCAGGTTCTCTGCATCATGTGGTGCAGGGGTCAGAATGATCCCGTCGGAGCACGGGACAATGATTGCTCACTCTCTTTACTATTCCCGGTGCTGAACAAAGTTGCTGAACCACAAAAGGAATATCTAGTCATTGAAATTCTCCAGGGAAGGGGAGGCAGAGACCTGAGAGTGACCAGAGAGAGCGGGAACATTGGGCTGGGAGGGGGCTGTGTGTAGGTGGTTACTGACCCCTGACCTTTACTTTGGACAGACGCCCAGAATGAGGCCCCAGACTCTGTGAATCATGAGCTCGGGCAAAGAACAAGTTGTTGGAGGGGACTGAGCCGGGTGGGGGAGTGGATCAGGAGTTGGCTTCCAAGTAATTCTTTGTGAACATATTTTGTGTTTTACTCTGAATTATGAACATTGGATTTGATTTTGGGGAGAAGAGTCATGAAATAGTGATGTCTGAGACTTGAACGTGGCAGTTTCCCCATCCCTTGCTCTTTCACGTATGGTCCCCATGACTTTTTCAGTGTCCGTCCTCCAGAAGCACTCACCCTGGTGAACTACGATCACCCCTCAAGACTCCATTCTTTTTTAAGTTTTTTTCTTTCTTCTCCTTCTTTGCTTGCCCAGTCCACTATTTATTCCACCAATATAGGCCTTATCATATCTTCTTGTGCTAATGTAGTTTTCTGAGTTTACCTAGGAGACTTGAACTCCAACCTATTTGCTGAGTGAATAAATGACTGAACATTCCTAGGAGATACAAAGGAAAGGAATTATTATCCCAACTTTTAAAGGAAATACTGAGGCTCCGAGACTGCAAGGTGCCGGCTTCACGTGTAGTGAGCCTGCCCTGGGACCGGGCCTCCTGACTCCAAGGCCAGTGCTCCAGAACAGGCACAGTGACCTGGGACACACCTGCAGAGGGGCCTGGGGCAAGCCCTGAGGACCATTTCAGAGGCAGGCAAGGCAGGCAGTTTTGAGGTCCAAAAGAGAAAGAGTTCTGTTTCAAATGGGACTCCCAAAGACTGTCTTCCTCTGGCCGCCTCACTTGTCCTCTGCAAATTAGTTTGCACCTCAGAAATGGGAATAAAAACAGAAACTAAAACTAAAACCCAACAGCACCCACTGAGCATTTGGGAAACTAGACTGTGAATGTCTTGAAGTCAAGCAAGGGTCGAGTCTGTTTTGCTCGCAGCTGTGTCCCAGCACCCAGCAGACTGCCTGGCACATTGTAGGGGCTCGTTCAATATCTGGTGAGTAATATGGAGAAGGGAAAGTGTGGGTGTGCATGGCTACTGTCAATATCAGCTGAGAAAGCTTTTCTCCCACTGTTCCCCAAGGTGGATCCCCCAGTTAATCAACCCTGGAGGCCCAGGTCTAAGCCCTGCCCTTCCCCTTCCCCTCCCACAGAGGGTGGGGCACCCTCCCCTGCCTAGGCTGGGTGCTCAGGGCAGCTCAGACACAGTCGGGGACAGTCAGTGATCCAGAAGCCTCTGCAGCATGAGTGTCTCTGTGCTGAGCCCCACCAGAGACCTGGGTGGCATCTCTGGGCTCCTGCAGGTGGCCTCCCTGCTCAGCCTTCTTCTGCTTCTGCTCAAGGCAGCACAGCTCTACATGCACAGGCAGTGGCTGCTCAGAGCCTTCCAGCAGTTCCCGTCCCCTCCTTCCCACTGGCTCTACGGACACTACTGGGAGGTAGGCAAGAGCGCGGCTTGGGGTGGGAGGGCAGGGTGGGGCCAGGGCTCTCAGAGTGGGCTCTGGTCCACCAGACCAAGGGACAAAGTCTCGGTGTGTGAGGAACACACTGAAACCAAGAGAGAACCCAGCTCACCTCTCAGGTCTTGGCTCCTCATCCCAGTCCAGGGAGCTCACTCCCTCACGGGACCCAGGGCCGGGGTCCTCAGGTCTGTCAGAAACTCCTTCCTCCAGGGTATCTGCATGTGGTCCTGGCTGCCCTGCACTTTGAGGTCAGTGGCTGTTCCTTCCCGAGTTTCCCCCTCTCCAGGCTGAGCAGCTTCAGCTCTTCTCACAGAACAGGCTTCTAGATGCTTCCCTGCCCCAGTCACCCAAGGATCCTACCCTGTGAGAGGTGAAGTCAGGCGTAGGGAACCAATTGTTGTGATTGCCCAAGACTGAGGAATTTTCCAGACTGGCGCTTTCAGTGCCTAAAATCTGACGAGTTGCCAACACAGCTGACTGAGGTTTCCAGGATGGTGCTAGGTAAGGAGGACTGACACTGGAGTTGCCATCAACAAGGTGAGGTTGCCTGCCTGCTCTTCTGCCTCGCTGGACTTGGAGCTCTGGGAAATGGGCCTCTAATCCCCTCCTCACCCCCAGTTCCTGGTACAGAACCTGGCTCAGAGGGACAGGAGTCCACTGTGTAGGGTGACAGAGGAGGGAGGGGACGAGGCAGCTCACAGGCTGCAGAGGGATGGCACCAATCCACCCAGCTCTGGCAGCGATAGCCTAGGATAGAGGGGCTTAGAGGAAAGGAAGGGGGCCACATGGCGAGGGGCTCACCAAGGGTTTGTGGCTTGAACACATGTGAGGAGAAATAAGGAGTTGCACAGCGCTGAGCAGCCTTTTCCCTGCAACGTGATCAGAGTTGGGTGGAGTCAAAGACGGGAACTTAAAACAGCCGGAGACCCATGGGGGCAGGGGATGGAGCCATGGGCCCCAGTGAACTGCCAGCATGCCAGGAGGCCAGTATGCATACACATTTAACATGTAAAATAATATTATATGCACACAGCTCAGTAATTAATGGTTTTTACTTAGCTATATACACCCCAAACACTATTTCACTTTAACAAACGTTTATATGTATGCTGGGATATTATTGAAAATATAGGGGGGAGATTATAGCTCAGTGGTAGCAGCATGCCTAGAAGCATAAGATCCTGGATTCAATGTTCAGTACCGCTATTTAAATAAATAAATAAATAAATAAATAAATAAATAAATAAATAAATAAGCAAGCAAACAGACCTTATCACCTCCCCGCAGTGGAAAAAAAAAAAAAAACTTCAAAAAAAGAGAAATACATGAAAATGAGTATGGCAAAATAAAATTAATATTTAAATTTTAAAATGTAATCCATTTTATTCTCTCAATAAATGAAATTATAGACAAAACTGCTTATCCTGTGATGCAGATGGTCATAAATTGTTCATGCAAATGTTACAGGAATGACCCCCAGAAGGTTTGTACACCAGGGAGGCAATCCCAGGTGTAAGTTTCTGTAGGCAGTTCGCAGTGGTGGCCCGTAGCTACACCCAATGATGGGACAGTATCTGGTCTTAGGACAAAGTTGGACAGCCAGCAAGGTCTGGATCAGAGCCCCGGTCATAAGAAATAGTTCTCAACTCGTAGTTCTGCTGGTAGATCCAGAGCTATCTCCTGTACCCATCCTGCCCTTTACCTCCACTCCAGCACTGGCACTAGAGGATGGCGTTTATTGACTTATTTTTCCTTTGGTGATAGTTCCAGAATGGCACAGAGCTGCAACCGCTACTAAAAAGGGTAGAGAAATACACGAGCGCCTGTCCTCGCTGGCTGTGGGGGACAAAAGCCCATGTGTTGGTCTACGACCCTGACTACATAAGGGTGGTCCTCGGGAGATCAGGTGAGAGTGAAACCCGCATCCCAGCAGAGGAAAATCTTCCCTCCTGAGTACATGCCACTGGGTCTGTGGAATTCCAGAAGAGACTGGCAATTCGGCCATCAATGCCTGAATGCTACCAAACATTCTCCCAGCCCATAAGCCAGCCGAGGACGATATTATTTACTTACAGTGAATGCTTAAACAGCTGGGTGGGGCTGATTTCTTTCTCTGTCTTACTTTTTTTTCAAAACCAAGTTGAGATGATCCCAGATTTGAAAGGCAGACCCTGTCCACATGAATTTGGGTTTGGCACCTCACATTGTTGCCTCTCCATGGTGATCAGCAGGCTAAAGCACCACAAAGTGTAGGAAAACCACAACCTTCTGTCTTACTCTGCAGCACTGAGCAGAGCTTATGTTCCTTACTGAGTCACCGTTTTAGTCCTGTGGCTGCTGTGCTGCTGGGACACTGGGTCTGCCTTCCTGAGCCCACAGTGACCTGCAGAACGAATAGAGGGATGGGAGGCCAGTGGGAGGTGTCTGGAGACAGACTGCCAGCTGACAGTCATCAGGAAGGGCTGGCAGCCCATGACCTGGACCACAGCTACTCTGGAGGCTGCCTGCTTTGGTTGGACCCCTTCACTTTCCTTCCTTACCTTTCAGATCCAAAGAATCCTAGTTCCTACAGATTCTTGGCTCCCTGGATTGGTAAGTACATCTAAATACAATTGCAGTTCACCCACCATTAGGTTTACCATGGGATAAACCACTTTGACTGACAGAAAACAACACGTGCCTGGCACAAGGACACCACCCTCATCTCTGAAGTCAAACCTCATTGCTCTTATTCGAATAAAACCCTCGCCCCTTCCTAGTGGTGCTGAGAGCCCTCCCGAAGCTCAGCCTCTTCCACATCACGTCTCAGTCCTCTCCAGTGTTCTCAGCCTGACTTGTACTTACGTCCTTCTATCACCTGCCCCCTACTCTTTTTGAAACTTTATCTCACATCTGTTACACTCACATCTCTGCACCAGCCATTTAGGAGATTTCCCCGAAATGTACTCGCCTTTCCTGCCTTTGCCCAAGATGTGCCTTCTCCTGACACCCTTGGTTCTTCCCAAGTTGTCCCCAGTCAGTCTTCCCGACTCACACACAAACATACTTATCTGTGGCCCAGGGTATGGTTTGCTCCTGTTGAATGGGCAGACATGGTTCCAGCACCGACGGCTACTGACTCCTGCCTTCCACTATGACATCCTGAAGCCCTATGTGGGTCTCATGGCAAACTCCGTCCGAGTGATGCTGGTAAGTCCATCCCTATCTAACCTGAACACACACCCAGGACAGCTCACAAAGTCCTCTCTCAGACACTTGTGTCCCTCAGACATCCATCAGACACAACCACCCAGCATTCTGTACTCAGAACTTACTATGAGACAGGGCTTCCCAAAAGTGGATGGGACAGAAGAGTACCCAGGCACCAGCTTGGATCCACAATTTGCTCCGAGCCAAGGGAAAGGAGGGCCATGTCGGACAGAGTCTGCTCTGCCTGCAGCTTCATGTCTTCAACACGGTGGACTAAAGCAAGGTTCATTCCCCTGGGCAGCAGGACAAGCTGCCCCTGGCTGGCCTGGAAAATGGCAGCTTCAGTGGCACAGTGGACATCCCAGGATGTCACTCTGGTAGGCTCTGGCCTAAGGCCAGGGCTCCTGTATGGAACTCAGCCACTCCTTGGGGGGAAATGGAGACCAGGTCTGAAATCTGAGTAGAGTTTGGTCCTGACACAGCATGACCTCTGACCTGTACCACCTGGTCTCAGCTAACATTGGATGAATGAAAGAAACAAATCCCGGAGGTCCCTACCTAGGAGCCCCATTGGAGTTTCTTATGCTTTTCCTTGACTTGACAAAACTGGTTTACCAGGGTTCAACCCCACCTGTGCATCTCGGTTCTCAGGACACAAAAGATTCCCCATTTATGTCCTAAGAAACTGTGCTTTCTGATCCCTGCCAAAACATGGCTATCATCATAAAAAGGTCCTAAAATTCAGAAGTAATTCAGAATACTTTGAGAGAACGTGATTATAGAACAAAAGTTTCTGAGAAAGTAGGCATCACAGGACACTTGCTTTACAGGCTAACTTGCTAAAACATACCTGCTTAGACAGTGAGGAGGTCTCATCAGAATACGTAGAGAGACGCGGAGAGCCTGGCCTCGTCAGCACAGGCCTTCTGGGGAAGCAGAGCAGGGTCAGTGTCCCCTTCCAACACAGGACAAGTGGGAGGAGCTCGTCAGCCAGGACTCACAGCTGGAGATCTTTGAACACGTCTCCTTGATGACCCTGGACACCATCATGAAGTGCGCCTTCAGCCACCAGGGCAGCAACCAGACAGACAGGTCAGTGACAGCCCTTCCACAGCAAGGTCCTTGTTCTCACCAGCTGGGGAGGTCTTACATGACAGGCAGTGACATCAGCTTGGATGCTCATCGGCACAAAAAGTGACATTCTGCCGAGAACCGCAAACCACGGTCAAATTCCAACACACACCAAACCCTCAGTCAGTCGCAGATCCCTGATTCCTGCACAGGGAGAAGCCTGGCTGCTCAGGCCACTAGTAAAGACTGAGGGTCTGGAGGGCTGTAAGGCAGAAATGCCGAATGTCACAGTGCTGCCTGCCCCCAGGATTGAGGAGACCCCTCCCAGAGCCCCACTCCACCTGCAGGTCACTGGCTCCCTCCACTCCAGTCTCTGGTGCATCTTCTCCCTTCAGGAACTCTCAGTCCTATATCCAGGCCACCAGGGACCTCAACAATCTGATTTTTTCCCGCCTGAGAAATTTCTTCTACCAGAATGACATTATCTACAGGCTGACCCCTGAAGGCCGCAGGAGCCACCAGCTCTGCCAGCTCGCCCACCAACACACAGGTTGGACTTCAACTTCTGGGCCGCTCCCCTGCATCATCAGGGACACCTGAGAGGGACTGGACGTTTAGTGTGTAAAGTGTTATATGGGGGGCGACATGTATCCCTATTGGTGAAGGTTGACTGAGAGCCCCTCCCAGCGTGGCCTGTCCTATTGAGGGGACTCCTGACCTGTACTGGATGAACCTAGAGCTCTCAGCCCTGACATGCACACCCCTTCCCACCCTCACCCTGATCCACCTGGCCCCTCGACTGGGCTTCGTCAGATGGGGCTACCGTGGGTTGTTGTATCTGGGCCCCCAGAGTGCTCAGCTCTGCCTGGGAACCACTGTTCTGGGACAGATAAAGTGATCAAGCTGAGGAAGGCTCACCTGCAGGAGGAGGGAGAGATGGAGAAGGTGAGCCAGAAGAGGCACTTGGATTTCCTGGACATCCTCCTCTTTGCCAGAGTGAGTGCCGGTAGGAGAGGCCTGAGGCTTGGCCCAGAAGCACAGACAAGGGGCAAACCCTACACTCACTTTCTGTCTCTGCAGAGAGAGAATGGGAGCAGCTTGTCTGACACAGACCTCCGTGCCGAAGTGGACACGTTCATGTTCGAGGGTCACGACACCACAGCCAGTGGCATCTCCTGGATCCTCTATGCACTGGCCTCCCACCCTGAGCATCAGCAGAGGTGCCGGGAAGAGATCCAGAGCCTCCTGGGGGATGGCGCCTCCATCACCTGGTGAGTGCCCAAGACAGGGGAGAGCCCTGTGTCCTCAGCTAGTGGAGACTCCTGGTTGCCCAGCCCTGCCCACCCTCAGGATGGGCTTCCTTTCAGGGACCACCTGGACCAGATGCCCTACACCACCATGTGCATCAAGGAAGTACTGCGACTCTACCCACCAGTACCAGCCGTCAGCAGGGAGCTCAGCAAGCCCATAACCTTCCCTGACGGACGCGCCTTACCTGCAGGTGCGATCTTCACCGTATGCACTGACTTCAGCGTTCTGCAGGAACGCCTTGTGCGGGTCTGCCCAGTCCTGGGATGTCTGACTCATCGCTTCTTGCTCAGGATGATTAATATTGTCACTAGATGTCACTGTCACTAGGATGAGGTGTGTGAAATGCCTGACACAGAGCTTGAACCCAGGAAGGCCTCAATAAACAAATGAGCCCCTGAACACGGTCTTGTAATGTAGCTCCAAAATTCTAATTCCTGAGACATGAAGGCTTGAGAGAGTTGCAGACAGAAGCAGGGGGAGATGTGGTTCTTTCCATATGGGGTCTAAGTAAATGAGGGTGTCAGACGGTCCAAGCTCTGTGAAGCTGTCAGGTGGATGCAGGGAGCAGCTGATGACCAGATCTGAGAGCCCTGCTGTGGTTGGAAGCCACTTGCTGGTTCCCCTCCCATTGGGGTGATTCCCAGCCCTGCCACCTCTTAGCTGTGATCATAGACAAGTCGCTTGTCCTCTCTGAGGCTCAGGTGCCTCATCTGAACCATGGGGATATGAGTGCCCTCCTTAAGGGTTGCTGTGAGGAGTAAATGACTTAATGCAAGTTCCCCAAGGGTTCATGGATGGAATTTGATAAATGGGAGCTGTCACTTGAGTTGCTCCTAAAAGGAAGGGTCCAAGTCTTTCTTGCTTCTCCATCCTGGGTCATGGTTACCTACTTCTACCCTGTGCTCATGTGCTCTGTCACGTCCAGCCTACCTCTCCTGCAACAGCATCATTTCATTCAGAGTGAAGGAGAGTGGCTCTCATGATGGCTCCCAAGCCTTTGTGCAGGCACGCCCGCTCTACTGCGGCCATGGGTGTGAGCAGGCTTCTCTCTCCTCCCTGCCCCACAGGAATCACTGTATTGCTCTCCTTTTATGCCCTTCACCACAACCCGAAGGTGTGGCCGAACCCAGAGGTATGAGTACTATGGGAGGAGAGGGTGGGACGATTTGTCCTGAGCAACACCTCCTCCTTCTCCACCTTTGAGACTGTTGTCCCCCCTGGGTTGGGTTTTGACCCCACCTGTGCTCTCTCTGTAGGTGTTTGACCCATCCCGCTTTGCACCAGCTTCTGCTCGACACAGCCATGCTTTCCTGCCCTTCTCAGGGGGATCCAGGTAAGTCTTCGGTCCTGGGTGGGGGGTGTCACTGGGTGCTACCCAACGTCGGTGCCCTCCTACCATCATACGTGGTGCACGCAGTTATGCCCTTGATGTTGGTGTGTAGGGAAGGAGGCCTGTGTCTCTATGTGTAAAAAGGTCTTCCAGGGTCGCCCCCGAGACTCTGACCTCCTGACTTTCCCAATGGCTGGTCACATTTTGGTGGCAGTGGCCATTCCAATGGATTCCAGTGCTTTCCTCACGTTAAGAGTATGACTTTTTAGTATTAGAATTTTTCACAAACATTAAACTTCATATGTTTGCTTTCCACAATTATCAGTCATCTTTAAAGGTGGTTTTACCTCTTCCCATGTTTTTAGCCCAGCCCACTGCATTTTTGACTTCATCATCTATCCACCTCTCACTGTATCAGCCACGTTCCCATGTGCTTGGATTTCTAGCTGCCTTCCTTATCCTGTCTGTTCAGGCATATATCTGAGGGGTTACAGTCGCTGTTTGAAGAAAGTTACACACCAATATGTGTGTTCTCTGTGTGTGTGTGTGTGTGTGTGTGTGTGTGTGTGTGTGTGTGGAGTCTATTCCAATTAAGTTTTGGCTGCATATTAATATTCACATAACCATGACAACTGTCCCAGTTGGCAAAACTCTTCATATATAGTTGGACTTATATATCGTAGTTCCAGAATCTGCCTAGTCTGATGTGGGCCAAAAAGCCTGAAACTGAGAACAAACAAGTGCTTTTGACAGGAAATCCGCTCTTGTGTAGATGACGCGTGCATTTGCAAGGTTTCTGGCATGGAGAACATGAAGCGCACTGGAAGTAACTCTTGAGCACGTGACGCTCTCCAACAGGACTGCTCTGAAAACCTTCCAAGTCTGCAGATCCTCCGGGGAGACAGTGACTTTGTGATTCCTCAGTAGAAACTAGTTTTTTTCTGAATCCGTATTTCTGTGAAATTTTCAAGTGAATCAACTTTCACAGAACCGGTTTGAAGCAAATGTTCTTCCAAAATTGGCCCTAGGATTTGGTTTGTCCCAGGGTTGAATCCTTTCTCTTAGATATTGGCCACCTGTCATCTGACTGCCCTAGCAGACAGCAGGTCCTAGGCAGCTCAAGTCTCCTAGGTCAGAATTAATATTCACTTTTATTCCACCCTAGTTTTTTTTTCCACTAAATTAGCTTTGCTTGAATATAAAATTATTTATTAAACCCCTCTTTGTGTGCCAAGTCCTGTGCTTGGAGATGGGAACACAGAGAAAAAAGATACTGTCCCAGTCTCCAAAGTTCACAGTCAAGAAACAACACCACTGCTCAAGACAGACCTCATTCATTCTCTCTTTCCTTCACTCACTCATTCATTCACTGAGCGGATTGGTGGAAGTTCCATGTTCCTGGGACTGTGCTGGGCACTGGAGGGTGATGTGTCCTTGAGTAAAACAGTGATCATGCCTCGGGTGTCCAGGGAGGAAGGGGTGCAGCCAGCAGAGGGGGAGGGTGGGCTATCATTGGACTTAGCCCTGAGCAAGTGGCCGGCAGAGGTGGAGGGAGGGCACTCTTGGCGGTCTCAATGTGAGCTGAGCGGGGAAGTGGGCTGGACAGATAAGAGCTGAGTGAGGAACAACCTAGAGAGGGCTCTGCTGCCAGCTGAGGCATTTGGACGTGTCCTCCCTGTGATGGGGGCACAGCAGGGCTGGAGCAGCAGGGGCTTCAGTAGAGGAGGTGTGACAGAGACAGAAAAGGCCGAGTGAGGAGACCGAGGGATGGTAAGGAGGAACATTTCTGCAGTAGAATGGGAAGGTTCCAGAAGTGGGTTGACTGAGGGTTGAGGGGAGGCAAGAGGCCAGACAACTAATTGGGAGGCAAATGGTCCAGCAGGTTGAGGGGCCTTAACCCCTGGCCCCTCCAGGAAGTTTATCTGTTGTTGTTCTGACTTCTGTACACAACTGTGTCTTGTTCTGTCTGGGTATCAGGGTCTCTGTGTCCTGTAGACAGTGAGGATCTGAGAGTGTGGAACACACTGCCCCCTCCAGTGCCCTGGCTTTCCCTGAAGCTGTACACTTCCTGTGGACCAGTGAACAAAGTACTAATTACCACTTAGTGATTCACTTGACTTGACTCCGTGGTTTAGAGCACTGACCCTCCCCTAACAGGACTTCCCCCTGCTGAGAGCAGAAGAAGGGGTGAGGAGCTAGGTGTGGAGACAGGTAGGCTTTGTCAAAGGTCACAGGGAGGGTGTCAACCAAGGATTGAATGTGGAGGTGAGTGTGACCTGAAAGGGAGGGGTGGGGGCTGGACAACAGGAATGAGAGCCCTGAATGTGCTGTTCTCAGCCTGGGCTCGGTGA